CTGGCTTTGGAGGGCGGAGTTAACGTCAACAGATTTTTGGAGGGCGTTACCAACAGAGCTCATTAACATAAACAGCTCTTCTGAACGGAAGTCAGAGCAGGAAGAACTAGAAAATGGGAAATTTTATTATCTGAGAATTATTTTGTTCATTAAATTGAATGAACATGGTCTGGATAGCCAACAGACATGCCATAAAAATTTCTAGGACCCATAATTGGTCTCCTTTAACTCTGCAACATTTGATCCAAAAACATCTTGGTGCTGCCCTCTATGGGTTGAACGGTGGTTACTGCAGTTGAATTTTCCTATTGGTTAAAACAGTACAGCTTGGTACCAGCTTGCGTCACAGCTCCTGTGTTCAGATATAAAAGCCTCTCAGAGACACGCCCCTGCAGCGAGTCATGAGCTGGAATAGCAGCACTGTGATGAAAGTTTGTTACTGCTTTGAACATTAGCCCATGTTAGCAACAATGCTGCTAACCTCACTTTAACACCCAGAAACTGCTCCTCAGCATCACCGGCTTCAAGCATCGCTGAGTCAGCGCCTTGAGCCAGCGGCTCGATCTGATAGGACTCAGATCCGCTGGGCTCCACAGCCTCCCTCGAACTCCGGAGACAAGTGGGGTGAAAAATCTTCCACCACGGCTAAACTATCTGCATCGTTACTCTCGTGCTTCATTGGAGAAGTTGGTTGGTTCTCCTCACGTGCACATGTTCATAAAAGAAGCGAGCAGAGGGAGGAAACAAGATGTGGAACAGATCAGCTGTTCTGAAGCGCAACGCATGGACGTCTGCTTCATTTCAATCAGCACTTTTAATGCATCTGGACCACACTAGATCTGCTCCATGTTCAAAACTACAACATTTAGGCTCTTCAAACCTGTGTAGCCGAATATTCCATAAATATTCTGCAAAAATATTTTTGGTGGAATATTTTAGAGAACTGAAGTTGTACATGTCATGTTTTTTTTAACATTCATACTACATCACATTGTGTTCTTTTAAAATATTTTCCCCTTTCTTGGTTTATTTTAATATATATTAATTTGCCAAAAATCAGACTTTATTTGTCAAAAAAAATCTTTTGAGAAATAAAGGGAAAGTTGTTTTAGTCCAAGTTGTAAAATGACATTGCGCACAATCTCATCTGTGCATGACTCTCAGCTCTGTAAATATGTGAAAGTACTCAGCTAAATGTTTATTTTGATAAATTTGACTCGTAAAAAATGTAGTGTAGCTGTTGTTAAACACTGTTTCAGCAAGCCTTGGTGATAAATGAATCTAGTCTTGAGTCAATCAGCTTCATCGCCTTGAGCAGAAAAACAGACGTATGGCCAACATTAGATTTGAGAACAATCTTTTGTGTGTTTATGAGCTCAAAATGGAGGAGAGTATAAAAACCATGGAATGACATTTCAGGACATGAGAAAATAAAAACTTGGAGGCAGCAGAAATAACCTAAAGACTTTAAACTAGTGCAGCAATCGTTTCCTGACTGAACTGGGTATGATTACCAAAAGGCTTTAGATCAAATATTCTGTGTAAATCTCAGCCTGTCCTCAGCTCTTATTTTGAGACGGTGATTCAGAAATCCTGGTGATTCAAAGGGAGTGTTGTGTTTCCCTAATGGCTGGCACAGAGGGCTGTTCTCCACCTTCCCTCTGACTCAGCCTGGTTTCAGAAACACTCAGGTCAAGTTGAAGAACTTCTTCACAACGTGCATCCTTTTTTTTTTCTTTAGATAAATGTGCTGTTTGGTTTTGCAGTTTTCAACTCTACGGTAATTTCTTTCACAGTATCGCATTTGCAAGCTGACGGTGTCGAGCGAGCCGCTGGACCACTCCAACGACCCAGAAATCGATGAAGTAGAGGCCGCCCTGTCGAACCTGGAGGTGACTCTTGAAGTCGGGCACACAGACAGACTTCTGGTAAATATATTTGGAAAGCAAACAGCAAACCTCAAGTTTTAGTTTGTAGATTTTTTTGCACCTGAACGCCTCATTTTAAAGTCAGCAGTAGGCTCCACTGAATGCACGTTGCAGCACGGTCAGGAGATGGAAGATAGCTGACAGTTGTTTGTCTTGCCTCCAGGAAGACATTACAGACATTCCAGAGCTGGCAGATCACCTCCGGCTGTTTAGGTAAACTCATCTTTACTCTGAATTACTGAACTCAAGTCTTTCTTTCTTTTTAAGTGCTTTAATCTGCAGCTCACTTGGATTAATGCATTTGCTCAGAAGGATCATTTGTCAAGAGAATACACTGTGATTTCTTTGACAGCTTTTAAATGTGATTAAGGCTGGTTTTAACTATGCTTGTTTAATTGCTTTCAGTTAATTTAGAAGATTATTTTTATTTTATTTATTTATTTATTTGAGAAAAAGGGGTAGAAATCATAAGAATTTTCTTCTTCTGCTACCTTTCATTTAATTTATGATTTTTTTAATTGTGTATTAAATTTATGTTGTTTTGTTTTAAATGAATAAACTTTATAAATAAATAAATAATTTAGAGATTTGCTCTTTGGGACAAATACATATTACTTTCAAAAAAGATAACTTTACCTTTTCCTTCTTTTTTTGTTTCCTTTTCCTTCTTTTTTTATCTCTTACATAATCTTTCTTGCATATATGTGTGTCTGCTAAATCAGGCCCAAACGACTGAGTCTGCGGTCATACAAAGAGTACTGGTTTGTGTTTAAGGACACCACCATCTCTTACTACAAGAACAAGGAGGCCTCCAGCGGCGAGCCCATCGAGCAGTTTCATCTGCGAGGTCAGGACCCACAATCATGGAGCTTCGATTGTGTGTTTATGTTTTGTTAGCCTTCAAGTGAAGCATATGCTAAAAACTCACTAAAACCATTTGCATCATGTTTTAAAAGTTCTGAGTAATCATCAATCAAAATGAATATTTACTGCAAACACGATTCTGCGAGCATGTTACTACATCTGCTGGTTTTGCCTTGTTGTTAGTTAAAATCTCCTCTGCTTGAACGGACAGGCTGTGAGGTGGTTCCCGACGTCAACGTCACAGACAAGAAGTTCGGCATCAAGCTCCTGCTCCCAGTTGCCGATGGGATGAATGAAGTCTACATCCGATGTGACAATGTAAAGTTCGCTTTCTCACCTGTAATCCTTCAAATATTTCAGAGTGGGTTTCAGGGGAAATGTTATGAGTAATTAGTATCTTACCTGTTGTAGAT